GCTTTTTTTTTTTTTTTCTTATAACACGTTGTCATACAAAAAGAGACATCTTTAGATAAAAATAATAAAATGCTGCATAGATAATGCAGATAGTTCTAGTTATCTGGTCAACGGGCAAAAAGCAAGCACTTAAGGTCTTCAGCTCCAATCTTTTGTTCATTTCTTATTGCTGGAATTTCATATTTCTTCTTGTTGGATGACTAAACTGTAAAAGAAAAAAAATAATAGAGATTATCTTGTAAAATTCACTGCAATGTTATTTCAATATACCAAATGCTCCAGGTCACATCAACTAAGTAGGGATGTGACCTGGAACAGTCCACATAAATCAAACTGGTTTATTCTAAGACAGCGATTCACAACAGGGGTGGACATTGCTGCGACAACATGGTTACTTGCAGGTTTCAGGATGACCTTTGCCACCCAAAAAAATAGCATAGAGGGAAACCAAAAAGCATCACTGGCTAAGAATGCGAATTCCAGCTAGGCCAGTGTGATGAACATCATCCCATACACAAAGGGGGTGTGCAGGAGGCAGCAGATCAGTGTTTCTGTCTCATCAGTGATGGTTCTTTCCCCCTCTCTCTCAAATCAATAAAAACATATTTTTTTAAAAAAAGTTAATCCCAGAGCCAAACAGAGATGACAAGCCCCCCGGTATCAAGTAAAAAAGAATACTGTACTTTTGAAATTAATAGTATGTCAAGGTTACCACTTTCTCCAAAGAGACTATATTGGCCATCATTATCTAGGTTATTAATTTTAGTAGTTATCCCATTTCTTTTTGAAAATGCAACACAAGGTAATGAACATACTTCTTAGGGCAAGGTTTTCAAAACTTTCTCAACTGGTGAATTCACAGAATACATTCAGAAAAGTTTGAAAAAGCCCTAATTATTCAAGATGTAAACTGAAATGGGTTTTTCTCTAGCATAAATGAACTCATGACTGCTCAGAGGCTAGAGGCCATTTAGGGTAAATTACCCGGATGATGGTAAAGATGGTAAGCCGGCATTTTTTACTCAGCCCCGCCCTGCTCAGCCTCGGGAGCGGACGAATTCTCAGCTGGTGGATCGGCTGCTTTTGTCTCTTTGCCATCTTGTGGTTTAGGGTTTTCTGGGCGTCTGCGTCGGTAGTTGAAGTTGCGGCGGTACCGACGTTGAGGTGGCTGCTGACCTTGGGTCTCATCTCCTTGATTTTCCTTATCTTCTTCATTGCCGTCCTCTCTAGGCTGTCTTTGGCGAGGAGGGCCCCTGGAATGAACATTGTGCAATGATGAAACCTGATTTCTTTAACCACCCACTGGTGTTAACACCATTATCAGGTTCTTTCTGTTTATCAAGTGGTCTGCAAGCAATTTAACAAAAATAAAAGAGCAAATTTTATTTCCCAAACTGAGTGATGACTTGGTACAAGATCTTGGAAGTGAAAATTGGAAGATGAGTCTTTAAAACTGGATTTTGGACAAGCGATCATTTACCAATAGCATACTCTTATAAAATTAACCATAAAATGACTAACACTTGCTATGTCATTTTATAACATTTTTAAATAGGCTTTATAGTAACCAAGTTTGGGAACAAGTGCTACTTAACCTTTATAGATGAACACTGGCTTAAAAGGCAGGAAATAAAATTTAAAGAAAAGATGCCCTCTTCATACTCACTAGGATGGTCATAATCAAAAGGTAGAAAAATAATCAGGGCTGGTGAGGATGTGAAAAAATTAAGCTAAAAAAAGGGGGGGGGGCAACCAGTGTCTATCAACTGATCAATGAACAAAATAATGGAATGTAATCTGGCCATAAAAAGGAATGCTATGACATGGATGAACCTTAAAAATAGGATAAGTGAAAGCCATGTTAAAAAAAAAAAAAAAAAGGCCAAATTACATAATTCCATTTATATGAAATGTCCAAAATAGACAAATCCAGAGACAGAAAGTGGATTAGTGTGAGCCAGGGGTTAGGGTAGAGGGGAATGAAGAAGGTGTTATTGGAAGGTGATGAAAAACGCCTGGAATTAAGATACTGGTAATGGTTGCACAACTTGGTGAATATGTTAAAAACACACACCGAGCAACACACTTAAAAAAAAAAAAGTTCAAGTGCTACATTGCAGCAATTATCTTCAATGGCCTAAAATTAAAGATATCAGCACCACAAACAATATCAGGACAAGACATAGTTCAAGACAAGACACTATGATTTATTTTGCTGGTGATTATAAACATTGACAACAGTGATGTTTTCTTGGCCCCTCCTCAATACTTGGCATCGATACTCAGAGCACCCCCTAAAGTCTAAGGAACCCCAAGATTGGAATCATGTCTTTTTATATGTTCTGATAATCATGGACTCTAATTCCCATTTAGATGTCTACAGTCCATTTTTCACCTGTAAATCCCCCAATCTCCCATCTACTTCTTCCAACCACTGAACCTTCTGAAACTCTTTCCCCACACTTTTTATTTTTTTATTTTAATCCTTACCTAATTTTTTAATCCTTCCATTGATTTTTAGAGTGTGGAAAAGAGAGGGAAAGACAGAAATACTGATGTGAGGGAAACACATCAATTGGATGCCTCCTGCACGTGCCCCAGGCCAAGGAGGAGCCTGCAACCCAGGTATGTGCCCTTGACTGGACTAGAACCTGGGACCCTTTGGTTCGTAGAACGATGCTCTATCCACTGAGCTAAACCAGCTAGAGCCCCACACTTTTTCTTTTTTGTTTCCTAAACATTTTTTTTTAATATATATTTTTTATTGATTTTTTTACAGAGAGGAAGGGAGAGGGATAGAGAGTTAGAAACATCGATGAGAGAGAAACATGGATCAGCTGCCTCCAGCACACTCCCTACTGGGGATGTGCCTGTAACCAAGGTACATGCCCTTGACCAGACTCGAACCTGGGACCCTTGAGTCCACAGGCTGATGCTCTATCCACTGAGCCAAACCAGTTAGGGCTGTTTCCTAAATTTTTACATGTTGCTGAAATTCAGATGAACAAGCAAAAATACCCACTTTTTCTTCAGAACTCACTGTCTTTAGCAAAATTGCCGTGGCTTTCTCCCCTGCGCCCTTTAAATGGTGGCTGCCCCATCCTACCACCTTGACTTCTAAATCCATTCTCATTTCTTTCTAAAACCCCAAGGCTTCAAATGTCATGTTAGGTACATTCCATTTACTATCCTTCCATTAGTTATGACAAACCCCAAAAGCATGGGCTTTTACTCACTCTTAACCGCCCATTTCTACTTGGGTCTTCTTAATTTCAAGCCTTCCACTCTCCAATCATTTCCTATTTTATCCCTTGTTCTCCCATACTTTATTTCCACTAGGACCTATACATGATCTGATCACCCATGTTCCTAACTCTTCCTGAATCTTTTTCTTTCCTTTATCCAATACAAAGCCCACCATTAATCATTATAACCAATCCCAACCCTAGTATCTTCATTTGGATAAACAAATGCTGGACAAATCAAACTCTCTGCCCAGTCTGAGCCTGTTGTTCAAAATGGTTCAAAAAACACAACCATGCTGGTGGGCCCACTATAAATAACTGTCCTCTTCTACTGCATTTTTCAGTCTACAAATATGCTGATTTCTCATAAGCAAAAATCCTTTATAACATATTTTCCTCATTGGCCACATCATTTGTCTTCTTTTCAGCAAAGCTACTGCCATACTCATCTCAGAATTTCTTTCA